GTAAATCTTCCCAGATTTTCCATTGCCTTGTGGCATCTCTTAGAATTGGTCATTTCTAAGCCCCAGCGAGGGGTTCTCGCTTCTCTGCCTTCTCCTCATCTTTCTTCACGGATTCTCTCCCCTCCCCAGCCGCACTTCCTGCCCCAAGCCAGGAACGTGCTGACCTTCGGGATATTCGGGATTCGAATTCAGCCTCATCTCAGCATGAGGCAGGGGGGCAGCTTGGCCAGTTATTACATGTATGCAGCCAATTTAAGCAACTTAATTAGTCTTTGTAATTTGATATTGGAGTGGCTAGAAGCGTTTTATTTATCAACATTTGGGATTACCTTCTCTTTTGTGCTTTTTGTAAACTGAAGGCTTTTCTGGTGACAGTCTGATTTCCCCTCAGCCACAGACAAAGTTACACCCACGCACGGAAGGTCGAATGGTGTCCATCTCACTCTGCAGAAGCGACCGGGAAGCACTTCAGTAACATTATGTACTCCTGCAAGCTCCGCTCCATTGGAGACCTTTCTGTAACTGTGGCAGTCACTTCACCCAAGGCTTCCTGAGCTCTTTGGTTTTTGTTGTTTTGTTTAAAAGGATTTCACTGAGATTAGCCCTATTTGAGAGTTACCTTCAAGCCTGTGCTGGCTCAGCTGGAGGCAGTAGCAAGGCACACAGGCCTCCTTGATGCATGTTCCTGTCTTTGGGTGAAATCACCGTCCCTTGGTTTTGGTCAGGGGTTTCTGAGGGGCATGCAACAGCTGCCCCACGAAAGTTGATTTTCAGGAACCTGTGGTCGCATGGGTTATCTCACGATCTGAGGTGAGAGGAGGAAGGTTTGGAAAAGGAGAGAATCTTAAATGGGGAATTCTAGGAGGCCCAGCAGGCAGGGGGGGATTGCAGTGCTTTCATCCTGGGCAGGCGGGGGCCGTGCTGGCTGGAGGCTCCCACGTAACCTATAGTTAAGTAGCGGAAGGAATTTCTGAGGCATGCTTGGCATCCGGATACTCGGTATCCACCCAGGAGAAGGAACCCTGCAACCTTCACAGTGCAGATGACCAGGGAGTGGAGGTAGCAGGCAGTACACGCGTCCCCTTCCCACCCAGCCCTGACGTGGTTGGTGTGCTGTCACTGTGTTGGCTCAGGATGCCTGCAAGGACCCACACATCCCTCTTGCAGAACCCTCTGTGCTCTGGGCTGGAGTCTGTTTATAAGCACAGGGCACACTGGTTTGCCAGGTACCTATGTGGAGATAAAAGGAGATTTGGATGCTCTAGCTGCTGTTGGAACACAAAATCCAAGGCTGGAGAACCTCAACAGAAGATGGAGGATTCTGTTAGTATTCCCTCTCCTGGTGGCTGGCAGGAGGTGTTCACAGCCTCCGTTTTAGCCCCAGTCCTCCCACTCACAGCTGTGTGACCCTGGCAAGTGACCTGCCCTCCATTTCCCCGTCTCCCCTTCCAATATTCAAATGTTTTATTTCCTTAGTCAAAATGTAATATTTTCCAGCTTCAATAACAAATAAACATTGTGTATATTTAAGGTATGTCTCTCAGTTTCCCTGTTGGTAGGATTGGGATTAAAACAGTGCGGGGTGAGCTGGAGGCACACACACGGTGGCCAGTGGTGCCAGCTCCCGGTCTGCAGATGGTAGTGAAGTCCCTCCCCCACTCAGGCCCCACATAGTAGTCCTGGGTTTTCGAGGCCTTGCAAATAGGAAATTCCCCAGTTTCCCTAAGAGCATGGCTTCTTTGCGGGCAGGGAGGGAAGGGGCTCGCCATTCTGGGTCACTCCTGAGCTGGTCTAGCTGTGTTCTGGGTCACTCTTGAGATGGTCTAGCACCTGTCACTGGCCTATAAATGAACACAGAAACGTTTTCCCAAGCAGATGCACCCTGGGCATCCTGAGGCCTGCAAAGCTGCCCCCACCCCACCCCCTCCTCCCATGGGTCTTCCCAGCTCCCCTCTGCTTTTCCTTGAACCAAGTGGCCCCAATGTGTTCTCCTCCATGATTTTCTGATAGGACAACCACAGGAGCTCACGATTCTGGTGCTGAATGGCTTGCTGTCGTGTCATGTGGTGGTGGTTCAGAAAATGCCCTTCCTGCCCACTGCGTCACACCCTGGCAGCAGCCGTGCCCGGCCCCAGGCTCCAGCCGCACGCTGTCTGCCTCCTGGGCAGATGTAATGTTAGACGACCGTCTTTGCTCAGCATTTGTGGTTCTCTCTCCTGTTTTTGCATCGACTCCTATTTTATTTTCTTCTTGGATTCACTTATTTTTTTAATGCTTTTCTACTTAGCCAGAGTCTTTGTGGTTTTCTTTCACTATGGCCTGTTTCCCCTCCAAATAAATCATCCTCCATCTCCTCCCCTTCCCACCTTTTCTCTCCAGAATGTGCTGTTTTGTGCACTGTCTCCGCCCGCCGTCTTCTCATTCTGCTGCCCCCACCTCTGCCCTGGATTTGAGGGGAAGGGTCATGGGACCCTCTGGCAGGTTTCCAAGGGGAGTTGTCACACTCGGGCCTTTGGGTGAGGCCGGAAGTGCCCTTCCTTGAGAGGCCCCTGACTGCGCTGGGAATTTCTGGCAAAGGTCGGTCATTCCCGCTGCCCCCCGAAATGCAGTTGTGTGCTTGATTTGTATATGGGAAAGTCCCATGTACCTACCTGTACCCCCCTCCTTACCCACCAGAGACACCCAGGTCTGGGATGTCATCACACGGGAGGTTGCTTTGCCTGGGACACAGTGGGAGCTGCATTTGCTAGAACTTGCCTCTGGTAAGACGGCTCTCGGGCTGTGGACGCTCACCTGTTTATTTTCCCTCAACATTGCCTGGCCTGTTGCCTTTTCTGGGTAGGAGGTAGTTTACTAAGTAGGACTTATTTTTAGTGTTAATTTTGGTTTCAAATAAGTCTTAAATTTTCTTACTCATTCCTCTGAAAATTAGTGACACAAGGATGAGAGTTAACGGGACACGCTGTCCCAAAGTTAACGGGACACGCCGGGAAGTGTGGGTCACATCCTAAGGCCTGTGTAAGTGCCGCTGCTGTGAGTGAAGTTACCCCATGCCCGGGCCATCTGCGTGCCCTCTGTCTCACCCCGTCCCCAACGTCCCTTGGCTCACTGGTGTAAGATGGGACCACAGATCATTTCGTGACTACTCTGTGAACAGTTTACTGACCTCTATAGGTGGCACCCCTCTTCCGTATTGAAATTTCTTTTTTTTTTTAAAATATTTATTTATTTATTTATTTATTTATTTATTTATTTATTTATTTTCTTAAGAAAGAGAGAGGAAGGGAGAAGGGTGGAGGGGGAGGGAAAGAGAGAGAAATGTTGATTTGTTGTTCCATTTACTGTGCAATCATTGGTTGATTCCTGTGGGTGCCCTGACTGGGGATCAGACTGGCAACCTTGGTGTATCAGGATGATACTCTAACCAATTGAGCTACCTGGCCAGGGCTAGACATTTCTTCCTTTTTTTTCTAGAAACATTTTTCATTCTTGTGACTGGGGGTGGGGCGGGGTGCCACTAGCCCCGTGCATCCAGTAGCAAGGACGCCGCTAAACATGCAGGACAGGGACTGACAACACAGGTCTGCGTGGCCCAAATGTCAATAGTGCTGAGGTTGAGAAACCTGACATTAGGGTTTGCTCTTCCTAAAACTGGTGTCTTAGTGGCTGAAATGGGCCAGGGACGATAAGCTCTGTGGTCAGCACTGCCCTGTTGTTTGAGTGGAAGGAACAGGGGAAAATTGGGGAAGCAGCTTGGGGGTCCGGAGTTTTAACTTCTGACCCCGAAACCTGGAACGAACGTGCTTTACTGCTGTAGGCAATAGAAATTTCTTAGGAGACACTTCTTAGTCCTGTTCCCCTCCGATCCCTCACCAAAGTAACACTGATGCCTGCGGTCTGCGTGACCAGCTGCGGGAGCCACAGCCCCTCAGGGTCGGCAGTCGAGACTGTCACGTGTGTTCTTTCCCACTACCTCATTAATACCTTACAGTTTTTACGGATGAGCTGTTAAGTAACGAGGGGGAAAGAATCCCAGAGACTTACTGGTGCTGTCGGTCACGGCGCCCATTCCGTTCCAGCTGGGGCCATGGGAGTCCGGGGGGCAGCTCTGCCCTGGACCCTGAGACCTGGACAACGCACCTGCCCCTCACCCGTCTCACTCACTCATCAATGAAAAGGAAGCTTGAACCAGATTGTGTGGTGCTTGGGAGCCTTAGAAACCCACAGTGCCTTTTTCTCTGAAACAGAAAGTTGTTTCTGTAGGACCAGCACCATCCAATAAACATGTAATGTGAGCCACACAGGTCATTTAAAGTTTTCTAGTAGCCACATTATGGAAAGGTGAAATTGTTTTTAATAAAATATTTTAGTTAGCCCAGCCCAAAATATTATCATTTCAACATGCAATCAGTATAAAAAAAATTATTGATGAGATGGTTTACATTCTTTTTGCTGTGCTGAGTCTTGGGAATCCCGAATGCGCATTTCCGTTGGGACCGGCCGCACTTCCTGTGCTCAGGAGCTGTGTGACTGGTGGCTGCGCCCACAGGCAGCACGGATCTCTTCTGAATGGCTGGAGTCCCAAGACCCCAGCTCGGGTCCACAGCTTCCACAGCTCGCATCCTTGGTCAGCCTTTTCATTTTGGGGTCTGGAATGTGTAAAGCAGGGACTAACAGCTTGCTGGAACCGGAGTCCGTACAAAGAGTTGATTTTCGTGAATGATGTTCCCCTAGCTCTGTAAGTGCCCTCAGTCAAAGCTGTGAGACACCTCTTGCCCACATAAAGTCTTGGAGAAGTGCTTCCAGCAGGCCTGGCTGCTTTGAGCAACTGCAAATGAGAATAAGATGTGATTTTTTGTAATATTGCAGAGCAGTGTGGACTTCACCTTCACTCCATGGAGCCAGCAGGGCTGGGAGGGAAGGGAATTTCTCACGGGAAGGGAAAGTTAAGACGTAAATCAAGCAGTAAATTGGGACTTTGTCTTTGTCTTTTCATGTAGTGGAATAGAAGATGAACTCAACTGAACTCAATGAAGATGTAGAAGAAGGTAAAACCCCTTATTAAAAATTATTTTTAATTTAATATTTCATTGGGTCATGTATTCAACGTGGTTCAGACATACTGAAGTATAAAAAGATACAAAATGAAAAGTCTGCCACCACTAGTCCCCACCCCCCCATGCACCTTCTCTTATGTGTCTTCCAAGAGGTTTTTTTTTTTTTAAGTATATTGAAAATGTAGTATTAGTCTCCCTGCATCTGCTCACCTCCCAGCCCCCCCCAAAGACTTTGAAGCGAGTTTGGACGAAAGGGTCTCGGACGTGGTGGTGTGGTATAGCGCTGGTGTGGCGAGGTAGAATCGGCGTGGTCTGAAGGTGCAGTCTCGCTCTGGCTGGACTTCACTGTCTGAGCAGCAGTGTCAGAGGGTGGCCCCCAGACAGCCTGTCACTCGGGGACCCTGCTGGTCTCCAAGCAGCCCGGTGGTCTCTCCTGCTGAGCCCTGTCTCTTCTCTGCCACAGTTCTAAAAAATAACACTGTGAAAGTGGAGACGGAGGCCGAAGATGCTGCCCTGGACTGCTCAGTGAATTCCAGGTCTTTGGAGAAGCACCCTCTGGACAGCGTCTTCACCGCCCTCCAGGACTGCAGCAAGCGAAAGCAGCTGGGCGGCGAGGGCCAGCCGGACCCTGTCTCCAGTGCGAAGAGGCGGCGGCTGATTCCCGAGGTGAGGACCTGGCCCCTTCTGTGTCTGCTTGGGCTCTAACCCTCTGATGGGACACAGAATCTCTACTCGTGGGACCTGGGCAACTCCTAAACCCCTGGGTGTGAAAAGGCTTTCATTTCAGCTGCCCCATCTCTGGCTTAAGTGTCTAGAAAGTATCCTTAACTGGAATCTTGTCTGTGTCTGGGTTCAGCAGTGGGGATGGGAGTCTTCACCAGCATTTGCTTGTAAAGGCAGGAACTTATTGATGGCAAGCCTACGTTCTGCATAGTACACCCTCAGCATAGGCTCCTCTGAAAGGGCTGAGGGCTAGCAGGTCTTCTCCACAATCAAATCCATCTTTTATGTCTGTCAGGGCAGTTTGTTGCCTAAAGAAACTTTTCAGTGAATCTTTTTGTGAAGTGGAGAATTCTTCTATATCATACCTGTTATTCCAAAGTTACCTATGTTATGAACTTGCTTTATTTCTTTTTTAAGATTTCATTTATTTATTTTTACAGAGGAGGAAGGGAGAGAGAAAGAGATGGAGAGAAAAACTGATGTGCGAGAGATACATTGATCAGTTGCCTTGCAAAAACAGGACCTGGCCTGCAACCCAGGCATGTGCCCTGACCAGGAATTGAACCAAGGACCTTTTGGTTCATGGGCCTGCACTCAGTTCAAGGAGCTACTCCAGCCAGGGCAAACTTACTTTATTTGTTAGTCACCTGGTGGTTACATTGAACTTTGCTAAATTCTGAGAGAGAAAATGGAACTGATCTAGTGCCCCGTCTAGCAGCCTGTAGTCCAGATGGCAAGTGAGACATGTACACAAAAGAGTGAAGGCTGCAGAGAGAGGCAGCTTGGGGAGATGAGGAGGTGTGCGGCCTGGGATGCCTCGTCAGCGGGCCTCCCTGTGGACCAGCAGGTTACATCTCAAACCCTTAGGACATTTTCCCAAACTCTCCAACCCAACCCAGCCCCCCCCCACACACACACTGTCTTTGGGGGACCCTGATAGTTATTTCAGCTTCTGCATGTCTGTCCAAAAGAGGCCCCCTTTTCAAGGCTCATTATCATTAGCCAGAACACCGTGGAGTATCAGCCTGGGACTCTGGGTCGTTACTGGTTTGTTTTAATTCTCCTTTGTTAGATTCTAGGGTAGATTCACAATAAATTGGGGATTTATGGATTTCAGAGACTGAGTCTTCAGTAAGTAAAACGATCCTTCAAGTGGAAAGATGATGTGGTTAAGATTCTCACCAGGATGTAAATATACATGTTTACATTACATTATAATGACGACTGACCTGCCTTCCACATCATGGAACATTGATTGATCGTCTAGCTACCTAGGCCAGCCCCCCAAGCCCCATTATTGGCATATGGTTCACATACTATACAATCCACCATTTCAACTTGTACAATTCAGTGGTTTTTCATATGCTCACAGAATTGAGCAACCACCACCACAGTTAATTTTAGAACAGTTTCACCACCCCACTGGGAAGTCCTGGACCCATTAGCAGTCCCTCCCCATCCACCCCTCCTCCTGCTCCTGGCAACCACTAACCTGTTTTTTGTCTCCTTGGATTTGCCTCTTATCAACATGCGTTATAATTGGAATCATAGAATATGTGGCCTTTTGTGTCTGGTTTCTTTTACTTAGCAAATGTTTATAAGGTTCATCCATGCTAGAGCATGTATCAGTACTTCATTCCTTTTTGTGGCCAAATAATATTCCATTATGTGAATATACCAGATTTGGTTTACCCACCCATTAGTTGATGGACATTTGTGTTGCTTTCACTTTTTTTAAAAAATTTATTTATTTTATTGATTATGCCATTACAGTTGTCCTATTTCCCCCTTCATTCCCCTCCACCCTACCCCCCGTCCCCACCATTACCCCCCTTTAGTTTATGACCATGTGTCTCAAGTTCTTTAGATTCTATATTTCCCATATTATTCTTGCCCCCCATCTACTTTCTATCTACTCTCTATGCTACTTATTTTCTGTACCTTCTCCCCCCTTCTCCTCCTCCTACTCCTCTGTTGCTAACCCTCCTTGAGATCTTCATTTCTGTGCTTCCACTCCTGATCTAGCTGTCCTTTTAGTTTGCTTTTGTTTTAGGTGTGGTTGTTAATAACTGTGAGTTTGCTGTCCTTTCACTGTTCATGTTTTTTTAACTTATTTTTCTTAGGTAAGTCCCTTTAACATTTCACATAATAAGGGCTTGGTGATGATGAACCCCTCGAATTTGATCTTATCTGAGAAGCACTTTATCTGTCCTTCCATTCTAAATGAAAGTTTTGCTGGATAGAGCAATCTTGTAGGTCTTTGGATTTCATGACTTGGAATACCTCTTTCCAGCCCCTTCTTGCCTGTAAGGTCTCTTTTGAGAAATCTGCTGACAGTCTGATGGGGACTCCTTTGTAGGTGACTGTCCCCTTATCTCTTGCTGCTTCTAGAATTCTCTCCTTCATTTTAATCTTGGCTAATGTAATGATGATGTGCCTTGGTGTGTTTCTTCTTGGGTCCAACTTCTTTGGGACTCTCTGAGCTTCCTGGATTTCCTGGAAGTCTATTTCCTTTGCCGGATTGGGGAAATTCTCCTTTATTATTTTGTTCAAATAACTTTTCCACTTGTTGCTCTTCCTGTTCCCCTTCTGGTACCCCTATAATTCAGATGTTGGAGCGTTTAAAGATGTCCTGGAGGTTCCTAAGCCTCTCCTCATTTTTTTGAATTCTTGTTTCTTCATTCTTTTCTGGTTGGTCATTTTTTTCTTTCTTCTGGTCTGCTCCCTTGATTTGAGTCCCAGTTTCCTTTCCATCACTGTTGGTTTCCTGTGCATTAACATTCATTTCAATTAGTTTAGCCTTCATATGTTCCTCTAATTTGTGACTAAAATGAACCAGTTCTGTGAGCATCCTGATCACCAGTGTTTTGAACTGTGCATCTGAAAGTTTGGCTATCTCTTGGTCGCTTAGAGTTATAGGCTCTGGGCCCTTGAGTTGTTCTTGAGCCATAACGTTTTTGTCTGTTTGTGCCTGGTACGTATGAGGAGCGGAGCCTTAGGTGTTCACCAGGGTGGGGCCACCCACGTTGCTAGGTTGTGACGCTGTATGTGGGGGCAGGGTCAGAGGGGACAAGGTCAGAGCAGGGCAATAGCGGTCCCCTCTGCTGCTTCCCACCTCTGGGGCCTGCATAGTCCATCTCACTGCTCGCTCATTCGCTGGTTTATCTGCTCACGAATGTGTGACTGTGGTCAGACTGCCGCCTTGTGCACGCACTGGGTCTGCCTATCACAACCCCGCACCTGGGATCTGCCAACCGCCTACCACACACCTGGGTTGGTCTGGCTGAGTTTTCCTGTGCAACCCCGCTTTGCCAGCCGCTGGCTTTGCCCCTCTTACCGGTCTGGCTGAACGGTTTGTTGTTGTCGGACTTACATATAGATCAATTTTCTGTGTTTTGGTTGTGTTTTTGTTACTAAAACTTTGTTGTCTTTAAACTTAGTTGTGGGAGGAGGCACAGTGTTTCCACCTACGCCTCCATCTTGGCCATAAGTCCCTAAATATATTTTCTTGATTATGCTATTACAGTTGCCCCATTTCCCCCTTCACTCCCCTCCACCCTGCATACCCCCTCCAACCCACATTGTCCCCCTTTAGTTCATGTCCATGGGTCATACGTGTAAGTTCTTTGGCTTCTACATTTCTTTTACTATTCTTAACCTCCCCCTGTCTATTTTCTACCTACCATCTGTGCTACTTATTCTCTGTACCTTTTCCCCCCTTCTCCTCCTCCTACTCCCCTGTTGCTAACCCTCCATGTGATCTCCATTTCTGTGGTTCTGTTCCTGTTCTAGTTGTTTCCTTAGTTTGCTTTTTTTTTGTTTTAGGTGTGGTTGTTAATGATTGTGAGTTTGCTGTCATTTTACTGTACATATTTTTTACCTTTTTCTTAGACAAATCTCTCTAACATTTCGCATAATAAGGGCTTGGTGATGATTAACTCCTTTAACACTTGACCTTATCTGAGAAGCACTTTATCTACCTTCCATTCTAAATGAAGCTTTGCTGGATAGAGCAATCTTGGATGTAGGTACTTGCCTTTCATGACTTGGAATACTTCTTTCCAGTCCCTTCTTGCCTGTAAGGTCTCTTTTGAGAAATCAGCTGACAGTCTGATAGGAATTCTTTTGTAGGTGACTGCCTCCTTATCTCTTGCTGCTTCTAGGATTCTCCTTAAATTTTCTTAGGATTCTCTCTTAAATTTTAATCTTGGCTAATGTAATTATGATGTGCCTTGGCGTGTTCCTCCATGGGTCCAGCTTCTTTGGGACTCTCTGAGCTTCCTGGACTTCGTGGAAGTCTGTTTTCTTTGCCAGATTTGGGAAGTTCTTCCTTGGTTTTTGTTCAAATAACTTTTCTACTTGTTGCTTTTCCTCTTCCCTTTCTGGTACCCCTATAATTCAGATGTTGGAACATTTAAAGGTCTCCTAGAGGTTCCTAAGCCTGTCCTCATTTTTTTGAATCCTTGTTTCTTCATTCTTCTCTGATTGGATATTTCTTTTTCTTCCTTCTGGTCCACACTGTTGATTTGAGTCCCAGTTTCCTTCCCATCACAATTGGTTCCCTGTACATTTTACTTTATTTCACTTAGTGTAGCCTTCATTTTTTCATCTAATTTGTGATGAAATTCAACCAATTCCGTGAGCATCCTTATTAGCAGTGTTTTGAACTGTGAGTCTGATAGGTTGGCTATGTCTTGGTTGCTTAGTTGAATTTGTTCTGGAGCTTTGATCTGTTCTTTTATTTGGGCCTTTTGTTTTTGGTCTTGATGCGCCTGTTTCATAGTGAGGGGCAGAGCCTCAGGTGTTCACCAGGGCAGGGCAACTCATATCACTGGGTTGTGATGCTGTATGTGGGGCAGGGATCCGAGAGGGAACAGTGGGGCTTGCTTCACTGCCGGATTTCAGTCCCTTCCCCTGCTTCCCACAAGCAGATTGGGCCCTTC